CTTACTTGGCAGCAACTTGGTATTGGCTTGGATCTGACAGGAAGTGGTAATCTGCCAAACTATGCCAAACTGAGGTGGAGGAAGATGTTAGAAATGTTTGCCCGAAATCAGCTGTGAACAAAATATTGCCTACAAGTTGAAAAGATAAAGAAGACAAATACCCCCGCTCCCAAAGGAATGGACATTTCCTGACAATTTTGTGTGGAGACAGATGGGGCAAGTAAGTTCGTTCTCAGTAGATGTGAGTTTGTAAGATCTGTGTCATCTACTCCAACGGCCAAGATTTGATAATAATGTAGTCCCCAAATCTCTGAAAGCAGTGTTTAAAAATGCAGGTAAAGGCCGGGCGCTGTGGCTCACGCCTGTAATCCTAGCTCTTGGGAGGCCGAGGCGGGCGGATTGCTCAAGGTCAGGAGTTCAAAACCAGCCTGAGCGAGACCCCGTCTCTACTATAAATAGAAAGAAATTAATTGGCCAACTGATATATATATATATAAAAAAATTAGCCGGGCATGGTGGCGCATGCCTGTAGTCCCAGCTACTCGGGAGGCTGAGACTGGAGGATCGCTCGAGCCCAGGAGTTTGAGGTTGCTGTGAGCTAGGCTGACGCCACGGCACTCACTCTAGCCTGGACAACAAAGCGAGACTCTGTCTCAAAAAAAAAAAAAAAAAAAAAATGCAGGTAAGACTGTGGTTGACCGTCAAAAAAAAAATCATTACAAATAATACCACTGAAGCTCCAGGTGCGCCCTCGTCAATTCTACCGTCTTCCAGGACTCCTTCGAGGAATAACTATCTTAAATTTCATTTTGGTTTTTTGTTTGTTTGTTTGTTTTTGAGACAGAGTCTCACTCTGTTGTCCCGGCTAGAGTGCTGTGGGGTCAACCTAGCTCACAGCAAACTCAAACTCTGGGGCTCAGGCAATCCTCCTGCCTCAGCCTCCCGAGTAGCTGAGACTACAGGCATGTGCCACCATGCCCGGCTATTTTTTTCTATATATTTTTAGTTGGCCAATTAATTTCTTTCTATTTATAGTAGAGACTGGTCTCGCACTTGCTCAGGCTGGTCTGGAACTCCTAACCTTGAGCATCCACCCGCCTTGACCTCCCAGAGTGTTAGGATTACAGGCGTGAGCCACTGCGCCCGGCCCTAAATTTCATTTTTATCAGACCTTTTTAAAACCAGTTTTACAACTTATGAACTCAAAATTTTATTTATTTTTTATTTAGGTAAAATATACATATGTAATTTACTACTTTACCATTTTTAAGTGTACAGTTCTGTGGTAATAAATACATTTATATATATTTTTCTCTTCATTCTCTTCTCCCTATCCCCTCCCTGTAACCACCGATCTACTCTCTATCTTCATTAGATCCACTTTCTTTTTTTTTTCTAAGTGTTAATGCTAGATTCTATTTTCTTTTTTTTTTCTTTCGGCATATTATGGGGGTACAGATTTTAAGGTTTCAATAAATGCCCTGTCTCCCCCTCCCCCCACATAGATACACTTTCTTGGCTCCCACCCATGAGTGAGAACATGCAATATTTATCTTTCTATTCCTGGCTTTAGTTCACTTAACAATAATGGCCTCCAGTGCCATCCATATGGCTGCAAATCATGAGATTTCATTCTTTTTTATGGCTGAATAATATTTCATTGTGTATATATAACACATTGTCTTAGCCATTCATCTGTTGATGGGTACTTAGACTGATTTCTTATTTTGGCTATTGTGAATAATGCTGCAGTAAACATGGGAGTGCAGATATCTCTTCAATATATTAATTTTGGGTTTTTTTTGGATATATACCCAGTAGTGGGATTGCTGAGTCATATGGTAGTTCTATTTTTTGTTTCTTCTTATTATTTTTTTTTTAGAGAGAGACAGGGTCTCACTCTGTTGCCTAGGCTGGAGTGCAATGTAGTGGCGCAATCATAGCTCATTGCAGCCTTGACCTCCTGGGCTCAAGTGATCCTCCCAAGTTGGCCTTCCAAGTAGCTAAGACTACAGGCAGGCATCACCACTCCCAGCTAAGTTTTAAATTCTTTGTAAAGACGAGGTCCCTCTATGTTGCTCAGGCTGATTTCAAACTCCTGGCCTCAAGAGATCCTTCGGCTCAGCATCCCAAAGTGCTGGTATTATAGGCATGAGCCACCTTGCCCAGCCTGTTTTTTGGTTTTTCGAGCTCCTGACCTCAAGCAATCGGCCCGTCTCAACCTCCCAGAGTGCTAGGATTACAGGAGTGAGCCACCCCACCCAGCCTATTTTTTGATTTTTTAAGAACCTCCATACTGTTCTCTATAGTGGCTGTACTAATTTACATTCCCACCAAGAGTGTATGAGGGTTCCCCTTTTTCCGCATCTTCACCAGTGTTCGTTATTGCCTGTCTTTTAGATAAAGTCCATTTTAACTGGGGTGAGATGATATCTCATTGTGGTTTTGATTTGCATTTCCCTGATGACTAGTGACATTGAGCATTTTTTCATATACATGTTGGCCATTTGTATGTCTTCTTTTGAGAAATGTCTGTTCAGATCTTTTGCCCATTTTAAAAATTGGATTATTATTATTATTTTTTTGCTATTGGGTTGAGTCCCTTATATATTCTAATTATTAATTCCTTGTCAGATGGATAGTAAACTCAGATTTTTAAAAAATACTTGATTAGCCTAACATTTTATATTTATTCAGTCTGCAGCTTATGGTAAGGAAACTGGTGCCAGACACAGCTTTGAGCAGGCCATTTAGTTTTGGGGGTAGGCTTTGGCCCCCTCTTTCTCACCCTGGCCCCCATAGACCTTGGTGACCTTTGCTTTCCCTAATCTCAGAGTCTATACTCATCTAACAGGGGACTTTCTGCTGTGATTCTCATATTTTGTTGTTTTGAGTTGCCCTTACTATATGTCTTTTCCATGGAGCATTTGTGCTCCAAGCCTTGTCTCTCACAGTGAATAAAATAACTTGTCCCAGAGGAAAGGAAGTGCAGGTCTCAGAAGAGAGCAGAGGTGCATGGGGGCACAAGGGGCCCAGGGGCACAAGGGGCCTGGAGGCACAATGGGAAATCAGGAGGGACAATGCTGTCTCTTCCCCCTCAACCTCCCAGCTGGCAGTCCACTGGAGGTTTCTTTTTTGCACCAGGGGCTCAGCTCCTCAGTCAGAGGGAGGGGCCTGTCCTGTTACTGGGAGGCAGGACACAGACAGGAAAATATCTTCCCCCCAGTCTGCCCACCCTGGGCTGCTTCCCTCCCCAGACTGTCCTGGCATTGAGCGCAGGGCTCTCAGAGTGTAACACAGAGGGCTCTCTGTGTTGAAGCAAATTAACCATTGAGGGTGTTAGCGACTAACAGCTTTAACCCACTCCCCTCTCTGATGACTAACATTTTGTCAGGGTTCCAAGTAAGGACAGAGTGTGGTTGGTCTTTGAAGCACGTGCTCTAGACCATGGGCTCCGTAGATGCTGTGTTCAGGAATGTCTTCAGCACATTTAAATCACACCACCTATGAGTAAGGCCTGACTAGACGCAGATCACCAAAATCAACCCCCCTGACAACTTCTACCGAAAATTTTCCTATCAGGAAAGTCACAGAAGGGAAACTAAAAACAATGGACATGCAGAGGGAAGACTAAGAACTCAAGTGTGGCCATTTGGGTGGGTGGAATTCAGAGAATCCTTACTGTCCACTAATCTCACACTAAAAGCACTTGCTGTATGTACTGCTCTATCCAGGACAACTACCACTTCGTTTGAATTTCACTTCCTCTTCTTGACTTTGTTCCCTTAGAAATCACAACATTCTGAGAAATGCTCCCAAAAGTGTGAGCCAGGAGGGGTGGGGAGCCTCGCAGCCTTAAGGCCACATGTGGCCTTCCAGGTCCTTAAGTGCAGCCTTTTTTTTTAGACAGACTCTTGCTCTGTTGCCCAGGCTAGAGTGCCGTGGTGTCAGCCTAGCTCACAGCAACCTCAAACTCCTGGCAATCCTTTTGCCTCAGCCTCCCAAGTAGCTAGGACTACAGGCATGTGCCACCATGCCTGGCTAATTTTTTCTATATATTTTTAGTTGTCCAGCTAATTTCTTTCTATTTTTTAGTAGAGACTGGGTCTCGCTCTTGCTCAGGCTGATCTTGAACTCCTAAGCTCAAATGATCCTCCCGCCTCGGCCTCCCAAAGTGCTAGGATTTCAGGCGTGAGCCACCGTGCCGGACGAGTGAGGCCTTTTGACTGAATCCAAATTTTACAGAACAAATCCTTTCATTAAAGATATGCAGCAGAAAAAGATGAAGTTTTTCTTGCCTTCTTTGGTGCTTATAGTAGAACAATCTGAAAATCCGAAGGCCACAGGTTCCCCATCCCTGGTTGGATTTCTGAAGCGATAATATCGCAGGATCAAAAGGTCAAAGTTTAAGACCAAACTGTAAGGGAGGTCCTGGTTCCCACTGGAGATCCTGGCTGGGTGAACACAGATGTCCAGGCAGCTGCAGAAGTAACTGGCTAAGTTACACAGAGGAAGAGACTGCAGATTCTCTGTGTGTCTGTTTACCTCCCTCACCACCTAGCCTGCTTTTTCTTTCATTCCTTCATCAGGCAAATATTGACTAAGTGGCCACTACTTGCCAAGCACTCTGCTATGGGCTAGGAATACAGTGGTAAAAAAGGTACAGTCCCTTTTCATGAAGAACTTAAAGTCTAGCAAGGACACAGAACACAGAGGAAGCTACTCCTAACCTGCAGAAGCAAGGCAAAGCCTCCCAGAGGAAGTGCTGGCCACGCTAAAACTTGACTGACAGTGAGGCATTGGGGAAAATATTCTAGGCCTGTGCAAAGGCCTCATATCGACAGGGAGACTGAGGCAAGGAGAAGTTAAATGAATTGCCTGAAGTCACACAGCTGCCAGGTGGCAGAGTCAGGCTTCTTTGAGTTGAAGTCTGTGCTCTTAACTGCCAGGCTACACTGTCCCCTGGCCATTACCTCACTCACCCCTTCATCTCTGCTTACCTGTGTCTGGTAGTGAGAGTCAGGGTGGGAGAGAGAAAATCTGGACAAAGGCTTCCTTTTCAGAGCAGGCCTTCGCTCCTGCAGCCTCAGCTAGGACCCTGCAGGGCCAGACCTGATGGTTCTTTTTTCAGGACTCTTTCTGGAAGGCCAGGGAAGCTCTGTATATATGTAGAGATCACCCCACCCCCACTGCCCACGGGCCTCCGGGAAGGCGTTTCCTCGCCCTGAAGAGCCCTCTTCCAATGAGCCAGCCTCTGTTCATCATCGTGTGATTCTAGGGAAGGAAGCAGGAGGCATGGCCCCGTGAGCCAAACTGCCCACATGAGTCACTGTGCGCACCCAGGAGTCACTGGGCCCACCTCACCCTCCGTCCTTCCCCAAGAGCAACACTTCTCCACACACCAGCTGCTCCTATCCTCTTCTGTTTCACCCCTCAAAGAGTCTCGGCTCTTTGGAAGAACTGTGCTGAGCAGAGCAACCACCATTTCCATTTTTTCCTTATCATTCTTACTGTGCCCTTTGTTGACTGGGTGTGTTGCATCGTTCTAACTTTTTTGTTCAAGATCCAGGCCATTGTCATCTTGTCATCCATAGTAACACTAAACTGCATGGGAGATCCATGACCCTCCTATTTGAGATCCAGTTTAGGCCAGGCACAATGGCTCACAACTGTAATCCTAGCACTTTGGGAGCCCGAGGAGGGAGGATCACTTAAGGCCAAGAGTTCACAACCAACCAGGGCAATAGAGGATCCCATCTCTACAACAAAAGTAAAATAAATAAAAAGATCTAGTTCAAACACCTGTAGGGAAGTCTTCCCTGACTTCATCACTCTGAATTGGGCACTTCTTTCTCTATGCTTCCGTTGCATTTTTTAAATTTAGATATTGCATATGTACATACATACATACAGTAAAATGCACAAATCTTAAAGATAACATTTTTTTTTTTTTTCAAGACAGGCTCTCACTCTGTTGCCCAGACTGGAGTGCAATGACATCATCATAGCTCCCTGCAGCCTTGAACTCCCAGGCTTAAGAGATCCTCCCACCTCATCCTCCCAAGTAGCTGGGACCACAGGCATGTGCCACCATGTGTCTAATTTTTTTATTTTTTTTAGAGATGGGATCTCACTATGTTGCCCAGGCTGGTCTTGAACTCTTGGCCTCAAGCATCCTCCTGCCTCAGCCTCTCAAAGTGCTGGGATTATAGGTGTTAGTGATTACAGCCAGCCTTAATAAAATTTAATGAATTTTTACACGTATACCCAGGTGAACCACCACATATATCAAGATACAGGACATCTCCAAATCCCCAGAAGGGGTCGTTGTGTTCCTCCTATCATTATCCCATGTCCCCAGCGTTAACTTTCATTTTGGCTTTTGTCATCATTGATTAAGTTTTGGCAGTACTAGAATTCATATAAATGGAATCATACAGTATCTTCTGTGTCTAGCTTTCTTCACTCAGTATTCTATCTGCAACATTCATTCATCATGAAATTTGTTCTTTTCTTATTTCTAAGTATTATGCCATTGTATGACTATATTACAATTTACTCAATGGACATTTAGATTATTTTCAATTTTTGTCTGTTATAAATAATGCTGCTATGACTACTCTTATACATGTCTTTTGAAGGAACTATGGATTAATTTTTCTAGGGAATATGCCTAGGAGTAGGTTTGCTGTGTCATGGGATAGGTGAATATTTGATTTGGGTAGATATTGCCAAAAAGATTCCCAAAGTGGCCCTACCAATTTACTCTCCCATCAGCATATGAGAGTTCCACTTTCTCCACATTCTCACAATGTGGTAGCTGTTTAGTGGTATCTCATTGTGGTTTTAATTTGCATTTTCTTGATGAGTAAGCACTTTTTCCTATGTTTATTAGCCATTTGGAGAGCCTCTTTTGATAAGTTCCTGTTCATGTCTTTTGCCCATTTTTTATTGGTTATTGTTTTTTGTTATTGGAGTTCACTATAAGGCCAGGTATGAAGCCAGGCATAGTGGCTCATGCCTATAATCCTAGCACTCTGGGAGGGCGAGGTGGGAGGACTGCTTGAGGCCAGGAGTTTGAGACCAGCCTGCGGTTGCTGTGAGCTATGATGCCACTGCACTCTGACTCCAGTGACAAAGAAAAGACTCTGTCTCAAAAAAAAAAAAAATCTAAGTATGAGACCTTTGTCAGGTATACCAGGTCTGTCCGGAAAGTATCCAGCCCTCATTAATATAATGAGAACGGTTTGCACAACGTCATCGTAACCTGGCAGCCAAGGAGAGTGGACTGGGGAGCATATGCGTGAACAATGACAACCTCTCTGTGTTGGTCAGAGGCGTGCTACACACCGCTGAGTGAGCATGTGCACTGGATGGCCATCACATTCAAAATGAGCGAGTAGAGCAACAAATCTGTAACAAATTTTGTGTTAAGCTTGGACATTCCTCTGTGGAACTGATTCGGATAATTCAGAAGCCTTTTGGGGATGATGCAATGAGTGATATGCAAATAAAAGTGTGGCACAAACACTTCAAAGATGGTTGAGAATCTGTTGAAAGTGATCCACATTCTAGAAGGCTTACGATAAGCAGAACACCTGAGAATGTTGAACATGTATGGGTTAACAGACGCTGGGAGAACTGTGTGAGGTCCCAAGGTGCCTACTTTGGAAGAGACTGAGGCGTCATTGTCCTATGTACAGTGTTTCTTGTATCTTCTTCAGTAAATGTCTCTATTTTTCATATTATGTGGCTGGCTACTTTCCGGACAGACCTCATATGTATTGTGAATGTTGACTTGTCACTCTCTTAATGTCTTTTGATGAAGAAAGTTATTGATTTTAATTAAGTTTAATTTATCGGTCTTTTTTCTCTTATGGTCAATGGTTTTTGTTTCCTGTTTAAGAAATCCTTGGCCCATTTGAGCCTGTAATCCTAGCACTCTGGGAGGCCGAGGTGGGAGGATCGCTCAAGGTCAGGAGTTCGAAACCAGCCTGAGCAAGAGCAAGACCCCCATCTCTACTAAAAATAGAAATGAAATTAATTGGCTAACTAAAATATATAGAGAGAAAAAATTAGCCGGGCATGGTGGTGCATGCCTGTAGTCCAAGCTACTCGGGAGGCTGAGGCAGAAGGATTTCTTGAGCCCAAGAGTTTGAGGTTGCTGTGAGCTAGGCTGACGCCAATGCACTCTACTCAGTGCAAAAGAGTGAGACTCTGTCTCAGTTAAAAAAAAAAAAAAAAAAAGAAAACAAACAAACAAAAATTGCTAAGAAAACCCTTGGTGCACTTATATGAGAAGGGATAATTATAACTGTCTATAACAGTTTAATTCTTTTATTTTTTTTAATTTGTTATTTTTTTATATATGTATTTTTTTATTTTAGCGTATCATGGAGGTACAAGTGTTAAGGTTAGATATATTGCCCATATACCCGTCCCCCTTCGAGTAAGAGCTTCAAGCGTGTCCATCCCCCAAACGTTGCACATCTTACTCGTTGTGGTTGTATATACCCGTCCCTTCCTCCGCCCTCCCACCCTCCCAATAAATGTTACTCCTACATGTCCACTTAGATGTTGATCTGTTAATACCAATTTGCTGGTGAGTACATGTGGTGTTTGCTTTTCCATTCTTGAGATACTTCATTTAGTAGAATGGGTTCCAGCTGTATCCAGGAATATACAAGAGGTGCTATATCACCATATATAACAGTTTAATTCTTTTAAACTGTACATGAGCTACTTTCTATGTAGGAATTTCTATGTGTGTAGATGTATATATGCCTCAAGCTAAAGCTAGTAATCATCTATTGAAAAGTTCAATAAAAAGGACCCAGTTTTCATTTTCATTATAATCACTTACAGCTTAAATGAATTCTTGTGACTTCCCCGAGAATTGAATCATGATAAGATACCAGGCTGAGGACTCACAAAACTTTGTAATAAGAAAAAACATCTATTCACCTTATAAAACACACTAACAACAGACCTAAAGCAAGTAAAAGAAATGTTAGGTTAGCTTCCTTATGCAGATAAAGAAATTACAGCCCAGAGGAATTTGACCTGCTTAGAGCACAAGTGAGTGAAGTGAGGTGGAGAAACGATACTCCATCCTCAAGATATTTTTTCTCCCAGCCCAGATACTTACTATCTTCAGGTAGTTCTTCTTGGTGACAGTACTGTGGTGCTTTGGCACTCGAGACGTGGCTCGCCACACCTGCCATAAATAGCTGTTCGCTGTGTAAACCTTGGGTGGTTTACTGGGCCTCAGTAATATTCTGAGCCTCAGTTTCTCATTTATAAAATGATGCTTACCTTAAAAGTTTGAGAATTAAATAAGATGCAAAGCGCCTAGAGTAGGTTAGTTCTCTGCGATTCTTGGATCTCAGCTTAGCAAAAGGGATTTTTATAAGCAGTGTCTGTTGAGAACATCTCATACTTAAGCAATCATAATAATCCGATGGCTAATTGGCAGGTAACTCAGAATTTTAGATGATATCTCTGTTCCCAACTGAATGGCTTATCTAATGCCTGACACACTCATATGGATATCTATGTGGCTGATGATGGTAGCTATAGGTCTTTGCTCCTTGGGGTAAACTTGTGACAATTAATTCAATAATTAATCTTATGAACAAGACACTTCTTTAAGAAATACATACTTGTGATAAACAGGTTTACTAAGGATAGTGTTAGCTCAATTTCTTCACTTCCCTATAGTAAGACTTCTGTGGTAACAGAGGCATGGTCACTGCCATGAAAGAACTTAAAGCATTGCCTTTTCATAGATGTGTTAATAATCTTAGTGTTTTTCGGTAGTGGAAACATAGCTACTTGTAATGACTTTGTTACTGGTATTCCAAGGGAGGAGCAAATGGGAGTCTGAGGGAACAAATTATGTACGGGGCCTGGGGTGGGAAAATAAGTAATGCCATAAAAAGGCTTCCGAAGGCTGAAAGGCTTGGGAGAATAGGAGACAGATGTTCCATTTTGGAGGATATTGTGCAGTCTGGAGGTTGGATTTGAACAAGGAATAAAGGAAGTAGAGAAGACAGAATTCACTGGCAGAAGGGAAAGGGAAAAAATGATATAGGTAGACAATCAGGCCAGCTGTTTTCCAGTCACTCTCCCAGTCACTCTTAAGAGTGACAGGACTGATCAGCCTCCTTGTGGTGGGCTCCAACTGAGTTTTATTGCAATTGAGAGCTGACAAAACAAGAGAGCACATTCCCTTAATGGGAGGCAGGGAAAAAAGGAAGATATGTTGAAAGAACTGCTGCCATTTATACCAAACCAGTAAAGAGGAAGTTTTGGGTTTTTCTTTTCTCCATTATTAGAAAGATATTGTAAACTTCAAACCACTCACATTGCACTTCCGTCTCCAACACTACTCTGAAGCGGTTTCTAGTCTCCAGTGACTTCTTGGATCTAATAACACTTCACTGTCCTTTTTATTTGACTCCTGGGCAGCACTAGGCCATTTGATCCTTCTTGAACGTCCTCATTCTTGGCTCCCTTGACACCCCACCTGGGTCCCTTTCCTCTCACTGGCTGCACCTCCTTAACCGGATCTCTTTATCACGGTGATCCCCAGGGCTGGGCTCTGGACACTCTTAACTCTCCCTCGGTGATCTCATTCATTCCCATAGTACTAAATAAACCCCATGTACAACACTGATTATTTCTCAAGTC